CCCAAGTTTTCCCGCCGGAACCACATGTTGCTGATTCCACTTTTCCCCTCACCTCCACCGCCGCTGAGCCTTCTGCTGTTCGGGCAGACATTGGCTTTGACAATACTGGCTCTGTAGTGCCACGCTTGCCTCATGGCTCTGTTGTTGGCCGCGCACTGCATTTCGATTCCACCGTGCCGGCCATTGCTCCTTTTTCGTCGCGTAGCAGTCGCACACAAGCCGCCGCTGGTGCCCAACGGCTTTTTGACCGTCGTGCATCCGTTTCAGTGGCATCAGTGCCTTTGGATTTGACTGCTTCACATGCATCTGTTCCGGTGGTTTCGACTGCCTTTGCGGTTCCGACCGCTTCCAATGCAACCGTCTCAGTAGTTTCGACTGCCCCCGTTGCATCTGCTCCTGTCGTTTCGACTGCCGTGGCTGCTTCCCTTGGTCGTGATGCACCTGTTTCTATAGTTTCGACTACTTCAACTGCATTTTGTTGCTGCCTTGCAATTTCTACGCTCCTGACCATGATGGTTGTATATGCCCTCTTCCCCGCCTGTAGCAATCCAGTGGCTGACCCTCTCATGACCTTGGCCCGCCCGTCTGAGCTTCGTGCTGCACGCCGGCGAGAGAGGTTCGCCTCAGCGTGTCTCTGCTCGATTCTACCTCTGCACACATCTGTCTCGTTAGGGGACTTCGGTTCCAGACACACCAACAGTTGTTGAGCCCCGGCTTTCCGCTGAAGCCGCTGCCGTCGTTTGAGCTTCGGTTCGTTTGCTACAGCAGTACAGTACCTTGGCTGTTGAGCTTCGGCTCTTTTGCCAGGTTCGGTTTGTTTGACAGCTTCGACTGTTGAGCTTGGCTCTCTTCTCAGCTCCAGCTGTTTTTTTTTTTCTCGCCTTCGTGGCGTTTGATGCTTTTGTTATTCGTATATCTACTTGCAGCGTTTTCTTTTCCCCCGCGGTTGTTGAGCGAAACTTGGCGTTGACGCTCCGTCGATCATGCAAGTAGCAGTATCTCTTGTCGCCGCACTCACCTTCCGGGGTGAGCACCGTACAGCTCTGCTGCTGGCTGTGTGGGTATTCCTTCTCTTTCCTTCCCCAACAAATTCCGTTTTTGGACCAAATTATTGAGTGGGTGGTGTATCCCATGGTATTTCTTTTACATTCGTCGTAAGTGCGTAACCACATTATATGCATTAAATATCAAGAGTAGTCGAAGCTAACCGGTTGATTATGACTTCGATCACCCAAACCGGACACGTGATGTAGCTTCGGCTCACACCGTCTGTGTCTGCAGTTTCCACTGCTCGCAAACGGCACTAACCGGCTGTGTATGGCTTATTGTATGACTTCGGTCACCCACCCCACTGGACACGTGCTGTAGCTTCGGCTCACGCCTGTGACAGCAGTTTCGACTGCTCGCCGTGCTCACACCGCGGTTTCCATGCCACTAGTTTAGACTATGCCCGCAGTTTCGATAGCCCGCCGTGCTCGCACCGCGGTTTCCTTACCTGTTGTTTCGACAACCAACCCCAATGCTAGTTGCTGCTTCGGCGTTTCTAGCTGTAACCTCGATTACTGCTGCAGTCTCGACTGAAACCTGCTATTTCGCTACCTGCCGTCGGCTGCCTCAATACAGGACGCCGCTGATGCGGCCAACGGGTCTCGGCCCGACCTCCACGATGTGGTGAGCTGCCTCCTCGTGGCGATGCGGGCGGCCACCATGAACGCCACGTCTCCGGTGGTGTGGCCCGGCTGCGCCGTGGCGACTCCGGCATCTCCGGCGTTCCAGCAGCCCAAGGCCGGCCGCGTCAAGGCCACGCCGGTCGAGCCCATCGTGCGAGAGAGTAGCTCAGGCGAGGACTCGGGCTGGAGTTCCGCGGGAGCCTCTCGCCCCCCCCGGAGCCATCTTCATTGGCGGGCAATGGCCGGGCACGGCAGTAGGCCAAGCGTCACACGAGCTGGACTCGTGGCAAGGGAGGCGGATCGGGCTCTGGTTCAGACCGGAGTCTCACCCGGAAGCACGGCGCTCCGAAGGGTCCTTCTCCCAGGCAAGTAGTCCCGTCCCTTATGGATGCGACTTTGAGTGATCGTTTTGATGATGTTTTTTCACAGGCTTCGCCCCCCCCCTCGACTTCGGTTGTTGGTATGGTTTCGGCCCCCTCTGTTTCCTCGGACTCAGGGCGTTTGCGTCGTGTTGCGTTTTCGGACCTTCCCCCGCCTTCAGATTCCCCTGTTTCTTTGGAACCCTTTGCACCTTCTGTCCGTTCTGCCGCATTCAATGNTCACACGAGCTGGACTCGTGGCAAGGGAGGCGGATCGGGCTCTGGTTCAGACCGGAGTCTCACCCGGAAGCACGGCGCTCCGAAGGGTCCTTCTCCCAGGCAAGTAGTCCCGTCCCTTATGGATGCGACTTTGAGTGATCGTTTTGATGATGTTTTTTCACAGGCTTCGCCCCCCCCCTCGACTTCGGTTGTTGGTATGGTTTCGGCCCCCTCTGTTTCCTCGGACTCAGGGCGTTTGCGTCGTGTTGCGTTTTCGGACCTTCCCCCGCCTTCAGATTCCCCTGTTTCTTTGGAACCCTTTGCACCTTCTGTCCGTTCTGCCGCATTCAATGCTGCAGACTCCGGACATGTACTTCGCGTTGAGTTTTCGAACTTAGCCCCGGTTTCGACCACCCCTGTTCCTTCGGAACCCTATGCACATTCTGTCTGTTCTGCCGCATTCAATGCTGTAGACTCCGGGCATGTACGTCGCGTTGAGTTTTCGAACTTAGCCCCGGCTTCGACCGCCCCCGTTTCTTCGGAATCCTTTGCACCTTCTGTCCGTTCTGCCGCATTCAATGCTTTAGACCCCGAACATGTACGTAGCGTTGAGTTTTCCAACTCACCCCCGGTTTCGACCACCCCTGTTTCTTTGGAAACCTCTGCACCCCGTAGCCTTTCTACCGCTCGCCATGCTGTAGATCCACAAATGATGCAGAACCCTGGGTTTTCGAACCTCAACCCCCCTTCGGCATTCGATCCACCAGTGCCGGGTGTTTTGGGTAGCATGTCGTCTTCAGACCATGCCCCCACAGCTGCTTCGGTAGCCGTCGCCGCACCCCCCGCTGTCTCCGATGATCGTGCTTTGCCACTTTCTCCTAACACAGCACACACTCGTCAAGCATCGATCGATGCGACTGATGCAGCTGCTCGTAATGCTCATGTAGCTACAGTACAACGAGCGTACATCACCTTCAACTTGAAAAAAGTTGAGAATGTCGCTACCATGCCTTTCCCCGCTACTCTGTTGCCGGGAGATGGCTATCAGCAGCTTGTTCGCACAACAAGAACGGCTTTGTCCGATATTTTGCTGTTGTGTGATGAGCAGAGTGAAGGTTTGACAGGCGTCGATTTTGTGCGTGGATGGGAACGTCCTCTCGAAAAAAAACTTTTGAGTGCGATCACTCCCGACAAGCCCTCTACCGCCGATCTCGTCCTTGCCCTTACTGATTTCTTTCAGCAAGTGAAACGGAGCTTGGATGGAGGAGCCCCTGGACCAGACGCTTTCCAGCTATTGTCGCGTCACCTGGCGGAGCAATTTGACGTCGGAGACCGCCAATAGTCGTTTTTGCGGCTGCAACAATTTGGCGTAGCAGATGGTACTCCTTTTGCGGATTATCTTCGGGCTTTCCGTTTGTTAGTTTCGTCTGTGACTGGCTCTGAGCGTACTTTGGCCCCTAGTGTATCCATGGTTCTCGAAATAGTGCGAAGCTCGGTCGACAAGCAATTTCCGAGTCTGTCTCCGCTTTTGTACCCGGGTGTTTTGTCCACTGCGGTCACTCCCTTTGAGTCGATTGCGGTAATGTGGGAGGCGTTCGCGCCTTTGGCGACTAGTAAAACCCCGGCTATCTGTGGTTCAACTTATTTTCGTTGACCTCGACCCGTGACTCTCTGCAGCCTCGGCGGCCTAACCACCGCGCCCCTGCGTCTTCGGGCCAGTGGGCATCCGGCTTCGCACAGAACCCTGTAGTTTTGCCCGTGCAACCTCAAGCCACGGATCCTTTCACGCACAACTACGACTCGCGGCCTGCTTCGCAAGCCGACTGGTCTGATGTATACGCCCTCACCGCCAATTTTCGTAACACCGATGATCCTTTGTTATGGACTCCTTTGTTGACACAAGAGGCTCGATCACAAGCCTTCCGCGAAAACAGACACCGCTGTCTGAACTGCTCGGGTGATGATCATTCCATGAAGCAATGTGCTTCTCCCTTCACGAATTCTAGTGGGTTGTTAAATCCCGAGTTGGGTCACCCCAATGACGATTCTGCTGCTTTTAGGCGTTGGCAAGGTCGCATGTGATCCTTCAGGCGTAAGGGTTCAGATGGACGCAACAACAATCAGGGTAGACGCCATCGGCAGTCTTCTTCCTCCTCTCAGCGTAGAAACCACGCTGGGCCTCGCCGTTCCGACGGTGGTAGTTCCTCTCACAATCACCACCAACAATCAAACCACGGTGGTCAAACCTCGGGACATTCCGCGGGTAACCATCATACACAACAGGCGTCTGGCAACACCCACCACCCTGGTGCTCTGTCCATCAACCCCAATCGCATGCTCAAACTGGTCCCTCGTCTGGCGTCATGGTTTCGACCAATCACAACGCACGCCAGCCTGGTAACTTCCACAATGACGGCCGTTCGCGTACCGGGTGACTCCCCGATGGTGGTTCGCCTCCTTCCCTCGGACCACCTCCAGCATCTTTGGGAACTTCGTCTCGCTCAACACAAGACGTGCGTGTATCACCCTCAGTTGCCTCTGGCACTCCGGTTTAATCAACGACAACAATACTCCGGTATATGTTCCCCGTACGCGCTCTGTTGCCTCTGGCACTCCGGTCTTACGCAACGGCAACAATACTTCGATGAATGTTCCCTCTACGCGCTCTGTTGCCTCTAGCACTCCGGTCCTAGGTAACGACAACAATACTTCGGTACATGTTCTCCCTACGCGCTCTGTTGCCTCTAGCACTCCGGTCCTAGGCAACGACAACAATACTTCGGTACATGTTCTCCCTGCGCGCTCTGTTGCCTCTGGTACTCCGGTCTTAGGCAACGACAACAACATTTCGGTACATGTTCTCCCTACGCGCTCTGTTGCCTCTAGCACTCCGGTCCTAGGCAACGACATCAATACTTCGGTACATGTTCTCCCTACGCGCTCTGTTGTCTCTAGCACTTCGGTCCTAAGCAACCACAACAATACTTCGGTAAATGTTCTCCCTACGCGCTCTCGCACTCCGGTGCTATCCAATGACAGCGGTACTCAGGTACACGCTGTTTCTTCAAGTGTCGATCAGGTCGGTCTTCAGCCAAATGCTCACATCCCACCTTCGCCATCGCATTTATCGTCTGCAACCTCTGCACCCTCGCCTCGTCGGATTGCTGCTTCGTCTGCAGATAGGATCGGCAGTAGCCATGACCTTTGGACGATTGATGAAAAATTGCCCGAATTGATTGCCTCAGGTGCTTCTTCGGATACGCTCAATTCGTCTATGCTCGCTTCCGTTGAAGGTCCGCCTTCGACTATTGCACCGATAGCTAACTTGACTGGTTCCGACCGGCAAGTTTTATGGTCAAATTCGTCTGGCTTCGAATCGCCTTGTCCCCCTGGTTCCGACCACCGGACATCCTCAGATTCCGCCACGCGACATTTCGACCGTGGGTCGTCTTTACAAGCCCCACCTTTTCCGACGCACGCTCGCACAATGGCACCCACTTCTAGGCTGCTGCGACCGACGTCGACACTGTTGACACCACCGCTTCGGGATGACGCCCCCGAGTGACCTCCGAACAGCCGGCGGTCTCGCGTACCTTGTCACGGGGGCATAGCCAGGAGCGCCATGCTCGGTTCAGTTCTTCATTTAACCCGGCTTTGGCAGCCGTTCCCAGCGAAAGCGACCTGTTGCCGAACACCTTACGAGGCGTTTCTTCAGGTTTACAATTGAGGTGCACCCAGCCCAGTGTTGCTGGCCCAATTACGAACAATTCGACTCAAGTCGATTCTTCGTCGGTTTCCGCTGTTACAAGGACCACCCCCATGGATGTGCATACTGTCCATCATGACTCCGCATCTTCGGCTGCGACTCCAGCTTCGATTGACAGTACTCAGGGCGCTCCGGCCTCTGTCGCTTCGGTCGTTTTCGACCCGTCTACCGAGTATTGTACTCCAGAGATGGCTTTCTTTTGGAAGCCGCCCTCCCCTTTTTCCCAATGGATACCGTCGACGTTTACGGTCGATGGAGTTGTTTACTCGTGTGCCGAACAATTTTTTCGCTGCAGAATAAGCCCGTCTTTTCGGAGATCGCCGTGCTTTGCAGAACATCATGCAAGCTTCAGACCCGGCCTTACACAAAAAGTTTGGCCGCGAGGTCCGTGGTTTTTTACCAATCTCGTTGGGAACAAGAACGCGAAAACATTGTGCTCACCGGCTCTTACGCAAAATTTAGTCGAAATTCCGAGTTAGGAAATCATCTCCTCGGATCTGGTGACAAAATCCTCGCCGAAGCCAGTCCTTACGACCGTGTTTGGGGCATTGGCCTCCAGGCCGATCATCCTGACGCTGGATGCACATCTGGATGGCGCGGCCTCAACCTGTTAGGCACAGCCCTACAGAACGTACGCAGTCTTTTGAGACACCATGCCCCGCCTCCCGAGCGCAGCTCTCGTTTGCTGCCTCCGACCGACCACGTTCCGACGTCGTCCCTTCATTCTGCGGTGTATGAAGTTTACCCTTCCACACACCAGCGCCTTCGGAAGGCTTCGTGCCCTCCATCGACCGACCGGTTCGCGTCATTGTCACAATACGCTCCGAATGTCCCGTTGGATCACGACACCGCCGTTTGGGCCGTGTCTTCAGAATACATCCCGTCGTCCTCCTCCTCGCTCCCAGAGCAAGGTCCGGATTTGGTTGGTGGTGTTGTCACCATCGATGACGACTCTTTCACCACCAGAATCCTCCTCCACAGCGGTTCGGCCTCTGTGCAGTTTGGGTGTATCGCTCTTTTGGATACGGGTTCTCCGCAGTCTTTTATTAGTGCTTCTGCATGGGAATCCATGAAAGCGGCTTCGGCTGCTTCAACGATGTCTGAGAAACACACCCAACCTCGCTATTAGGGTGGTTTTGGGAAATCTGCGCCGCTTCAAACTTCGACCATTGTCCGTTTGAGTGTTCAGTTTCTTCGTATGAACCATCCTACTTCTACTCTTGCTGTTTGGGCATACGTTGTTCCTGACGGCGTCATGCATCATGACGTGCTCCTCGGCAGATATAGTTGGATGCGGTTTAGTGACCGTTCTTACCGCACTTTGCGTGCGAAACGTCCTGGTGACCGTGTCTTTGGTGAGCTTATTTTAGCCCAATATGACACTTGTGGTGCCACTGCTTTTGCTCACGATCTGTCCGCGACGGATGGAAGTTACCAACTTCGCCATGCAGGCAAACAGTCCGTTCAACTTCACCCGGAGCATAGCCTCATTCAGGTCAATTTGGTACGCAATGATGGCTCGCCTGCCCTTGTGGGTAACTATTTGGTGGATATGCTTCCCCAATGTGCTATGTTTTCTTCCGAGGAAAATTTTGTGCAAAATGGCTGCCAACGAATCCCTCTTGCGGGCATCTCGTCTCTCGAACCCGGCGACGTTCTGGGTACAGCTTCGGCTCCCCTTCTTCGAGTGCCTGTTAGCGCTGTTTCTCGCCANAAACATTGTGTGCAAAATGGCTGCCAACGCATCCCTCTTGCGGGCATCTCGTCTCTCGAACCCGGCGACGTCCTGGGTACAGCTTCGATTCCCCTTCTTCGCGTGCCTCTCAGCGCTGTTTCTCGCCACAGTTTGAGCGATGGTCTTGAAACTGCGGCTTCAGAATCCACAGACAGCTGGGTCCCTGGGCCTGTTTCTGCGGGTGGCATTGATTCGTTTGCCACGCACTCCGTCTCTGACCCCTTTGTGTATAATTTACACGAGCGACCCATCCCGTCGCCAAGCGACCGAGGGGACTTTGGTTCCGCTAGTTCTTCCTCTTCGTCGCCTTCCCCTGCTCTTCTCGAGCGGTTGACGCTAGAACAGCGTCAAACTTTCTCCCANAGACAGCTGGGTCCCTGGGCCTGTTTCTGCGGGTGGCATTGATTCGTTTGCCACGCACTCCGTCTCTGACCCCTTTGTGTATAATTTACACGAGCGACCCATCCCGTCGCCAAGCGACCGAGGGGACTTTGGTTCCGCTAGTTCTTCCTCTTCGTCGCCTTCCCCTGCTCTTCTCGAGCGGTTGACGCTAGAACAGCGTCAAACTTTCTCCCAAGTCTGGGATAAGCTCCCCTGCCATCTCCGTGAGATAACTTTTGATCTCCACGGCCCGGGTTGGACTCCCGATGTCATTACTCAGCTTAGTAGCGTTTTGTGCGAATACCATGATGTGTTTTCGAGTTCTCCGACCGACTTTGGATCTTGTTCACTTTTTCCTTTTAAGCTTACAGTTCCTCCTGGCAGCGCAACCGTCACGTCTCGCCCCTACCGCGTTAATCCCCCCGTGGCGAAACAAGTTGACGCGATCCTTGACCAATATCTTGCGGCAGGTTTGATCAGGCAACGCTGATTTCCTCTCACGCCTCCCAGTCGCTGCGGCTGAATGCGGACCGTTTGGGTCGCAGCCGTCTCACCCCGGCTGAGGATTAAGAGGCGGTGTTTTTCATCCGTTCGTGTGGCCTTACCCCTTCCGGTGATCGGACCGCGGGTACTGGCTTGGGTGGGCTAGTTCCTAATTCCCCGACTTCGGTCTTGGGTGGGCTTGCCCCCTGCACGGCTGACTTCGCTGATTTCCGTCGGCACGGTCCGCGTCTACCGCCATCAGGCCTCTCGTCTTCATCGGGCATTTGGAACGTCGCTTCCTTGTCGCCTAAGATGGCTCCCTTGCCGTCCGAGATGTTCTGTCGTTCGGCGCGGTCGCGATTGCGCCATCGACCTCGCATCGTTTGGTCCGGTTCCCTGCCTCGGTCTTTCGATGATGTTTTGGCTCTCGAGCCCGAGCCTCCGTCTGCCGTTCCCGCCCTTGGAAACCCGCGTCGGACCCTCGACCCCACCCAAGTG